GCTACTGCTACTGCTACTGCTTCTGTACTGTACTGTACCGCTACTACCACCACCTTAAATATTACGCGGCAACGGCGACGAGGACCAGCGTACATGCGCACTAGTGCATGCATGCATGCATGCATGCATGCATGCATGCATGCATGCCTGCACACATACATACGTAAACACCTACCTACCTACCTACCTACCTACCTACCTACCTACCTACCTACCTACCTACCTACCTACCTACCTATGTTTACATGCATACCTACATACAGACGTGCATACATGCATACCGCCTTACATACAACCATACCCAGCACATACGTGAATGGAGCGACGTTGTCGAAAAATCACGAGTTACTTTCGGCCATGACATTAATCTCCTGGTCTGTGTCTAAGTCCACGCAGTAGTTCTCGTCGGCATAGTGTGCGCCATCGCACTTACAGCCAGGGGCGAGCTGTTGGTGGCCTGGCTGCTTCCCTGGCGTGAGGGCAGTGGATCTCCTCGGAAAAGAAACCAACACCCACTTTGACAACAACACCCAGAAGTCAAGGCTGAAACAGATCAACATGAAAAGGCTCTGCACTCTACCTACAGACACACAGCCAACCCAGCGCCAGGCCAACCAAATCAAGGCTCCCCCGCTTGACAGCGGTCCACGACGGGGTGTGCAGGTCCAAGTTGGCAGACCACTTCAGCAAATTTCGGTGGGCAAATACTGGCAAGTCTTCGAGCGAAGGATGATGCTGCAGCATCGTGTGACCGCAGAAAGCACCGGATGCAGTTGTATAGCCCATGGCCCCAGTTGGTGTGGAGACCTGGGGCTCACCATCAAGGATGCATGCAAGTACACAGGAACTGCTACACCCAACCCGTTGCAAGATTTCTTAACCACCACTGCACAGGGATACCTTTACTTGCACTGTACAAGCCTGGTGGAACGGTGTGGAGAAGGCCAGGAATGCCATCATCAGGAGGTCCTTGTCACCCAGTGTGATCTTGAAGTAGAAATCCTCATGGGATGGCTCTAAAGTGTCGTGCAGGAATGAATGACTCTGTGTCTAACTCCTACAAGAGGACTTCTAAATTGCAAAGGGCTACCAAGTGAGAGTCCTTGTTCATGCTGAAGTAATAGGCCAGCTCCAGCTTCGCCAAATGCCTATTCCGGTGGATCAGCAGCTGGCCGTTCTCAACCTCTTGCAGCGGGTAGTATTGCTGGTCTGTCATCTGCCAGATCAAGCTGTCTCTTCCTCGGTCGAACAGGCATAGAGGCTGCCGGACAAAATATCTCCGGAAAGAGTACCCACCCACGCTACGTAAGCTTCTTTGGCATCTTGAATACCACTCGGCGTGTGTTTCCTCCGAATGCAGCCGCCTCTGACAGAGACATGTGCCTGAATTGGTCTTTCGCATTCGAGGTTCTGAAAGACGGGAAGTCTGGCCAGAAGACTGCGCCCAGGGTCGTATACGCAGAGATCTCGAAAAGGGGCGCTGGGTCGAGGAGGACTGTGTTGTCCGCATCCAGATAGAGAAACTCCTACCAGAGAGGTGCAGCATCACAAAAGCCATGACGGCCCTGATTCTCTACTCTGCTTTAACTTAAAGACAGAGAATCAATTCATCAGCCAACACCGGCCAAGTTGCCACGGGTATCCTAAAGCGACATGGCTTGAAGTTGCAGGCTTCGGCCCAGCCACCCACCCCTGTCTAATCTGGTCCTTCCCATTCCTGATAGGGCCATGCCTCTTGAGGGTTGGGGTCTACTCCGTACCCGCCCCCTGCTCCGTTGACTTCGGCTTCCGGCTTTGCCCGCTCCACCAGAGTTCGCTAGGGCTCAGAGCTTTCCACTCTCTTCTCTTTTAAGGCTTTGCTTGAGGCTTGGGGCATTCGAGCCCTCCCGCTCCCTGTTTGCTTGCGATTTCCTCCCTGCTCCTGTGAGGATGGCAGTGACCACGCCAGCGATGATGATCATGCTGCTTCATGATGATGATGATGATGATGATGATGATGATGAGGGGGAGGAGGAGGAGGATGGTGAGGCGAACTTCAGGGGTGAATGGCATCAAGTGCATCGCAGTTGGTCGGCTTCACATGGCTTCGGTGGGTGGTCTGCTGCCGAGCTCCTCGAAGCTGGAGTGGAGCATTGCCACTGCAGGGAGCGCATATCCTTCCCTGAGGTCAATGGGGCCAAGGACCAACACAATACAATAGGAGTCCTTGATAATTAGAATGGGGTTCTGGCGTATACTATACAATACTGCAGACGTTATAGTATGACTATAACCGGGAATGCAAGCTGATGTCACTCACATTTGGATCGAGCAAGGGCAGCTGTATTCTCACGTTAGGTGCATGTAAGCTAGTCTCAAGGCTTTACGGTCTAGGGTTCAACGGTCCACAGGGTTTCGGGTTGAGGAATCACGTAGATCACGCTGCAAGCTCGAAGCTGAGGATAGGGAGGATACACCTTACCCTAACCCTCCAGGTACCTACTATATAGGGTCCTAGGGGCTCTAGTACCCTATATAGTAGGTACCTGGGGGTTAGGGGTAACTTGAACCTCCGCTTTTAAGCCTCAGCGCAACCTTCGCCTGGAAGACGACCTGGGACTTAATATGACTTATGCTGCACAGCATAGCAGGCTGCACAGCCTACTCGGAGTTATAAGCGGAGTTATGAGTCCCCTAATATGGGTTATAATTCCAGTTACCCTACTTATAACCTCACCTATAAATACCGACGAACTTAGATTGAAGCGGCAAGAACACACTTCCTTTCTGCACATATCGCATAAGCATGTCTCCAAGCTGCAGGTTCTCTGATGCCACATCCCGGAAGTCACGGAGAAAAACGTGCCTGAACGACGCAGTGCGCAAGATCAGTTTCTGGGCTTGCGGAGCATACTCTACTGGACAAGTGCCGGATCCACGTCCAATTCTGAGGCTCCTGTGACTGTATTTAGGGCTCACACTTTGAAGTCCGCTTGGCTTGTATGTTGTGGCACTACGCCTGAGGTTGTCAATTCAACGAACTGGTACTCACAGGACCTCAACTGGCCAGGATGGCATTCAACACTCTATCAAAGCTTGCTCTAAACCATTGCAACTCCAACCTTGCTGAGCCTGTACCTTCAAGCCTCAGAAATCCCCGCCTCCTGAGCTGCCAAGCCGGTAAGCCCACCAAATCAAACCTTGAAGCCCCGACCGCACGAGCTATGCCTCCAAACCCCCAAAACGCGCAAACCAGATGAGGCTCTCCGGAAGCTTTGCCGAGAGCAAGTGTGCATCGCCCTGGCAGGACAATCGAACTTGGCAAGGTGGAATTAGGACTTGGAAAGATATCGAACGACTTGCGGGAGATTTGGGGCTTCGCAGGTATTCAAGGACACATGTCGGAACTCGTGTCTAGTTTTGGATCACGCACGTCAAGCGATTAGAAGGTTCGAGTGTTAGGCTTTGGATCAGCCTAAAACCTAATCCTGGTATCCAATTCCAAACATAACTGACAGAACCATATAGCACTGGCATATTTGAGCAATCATTCGATTGCAAATACACGTCCCAAGGGTCGTGGTAGTCTCCCGACCCTTATGTCGGCCGGTGTGGGCTGTGGATTTCAAGCCTGTTTTTGCTGCCAAGACTAGGTTGGGATTTCGTCGGCGGCCAATGGCTCATGCGGCTATATACAAATCTGCTTTTGCGATGCTGTTGCTTCTGTTTCGGTCTTCATGCATCTCTTCCTCCTTGTAGTAATAAGTAATAGTAATAGTATCGGCCCGCCTACTATTTTCGGGGAGCATTTGGCCTGGAATGCATCCGAACACCAGTTTAAAATGGCAAGACTGCGGTACAATTAGGGCTTGTTCGGTATACCCTTATGGGGTCGCACAAGAGGAGAGGGTCGCGGGCTTATAACTGATTACTTAACCTGTGCCGAATCTCTCTCTCTCTCTCTCTTTCTCTTTCTCTCGGAGAGTTTAGGACTTGCAAGAGCAAGAGTGTCTAGACCGCGTGAAGTCACAACATCCTGCACCCGAAGACGCTAGCGAAGTCCTACAGAGTTTTCTTGGCCTTGGCTTGGCAAACCCCGGCTTTTCAAGTTCTTTTGGAGCTGCATGCTCATCATCACAGGAACTGCGGCCGCTCGGGCTGTTCATATATTCATCGCTACTGTCATGATTTTGGTTGGTAGCCCTACAGAAGCTGATATGGAACAGACTGTTTCATGCTCTCGCCGTCCATGACCCGACTGATTTCACAGACATATCAGGATAAATGCCTGTGGTAGAAGGTGACTAGGCAAAGCGAGCGTGTTCACATTCTTGCCAATGGCCTGGTGCCAGAGCTCCACAGGCAGGGAGGAGCCCGTGCGGCGAAGGCTCGCCACACAAAGCAGCGCATCAAAGGTATAGGAATGAGTATGTTGGCTCACCTGGGAAGCATTGGGATGCAGACGTTGCAAACGCGTGGACCGAAAAATATGCTGATCCCAACCCTAACCCGCCAGGTACCTACTATATAGGGCCCTAGGGGCTCTAGTACCCGATAGTAGGTACTTGGAGGGTTAGGGCAATCGTTCCGCAACAGCCTTCATCGGCCGGGCCCCCCTCTTCTGCTTGTCAGACGGTGGTTGCTTCTTCTTCTGGTGGGGTTCGCTGCTCACACTGCGCTCCCTAACCCCCCAGGTACCTACTATATAGGGTACTAGAGCCCCTAACTAGGGCCCTATATAGTAGGTACCTGGGGGGTTAGCCCTAAACCCTAAACCCTAAACCCTAAATCCTAAACCCTAAACTCCTAAACCCTGTATAGTAGGTACCTGGGGGGTTAGCCCTAAACCCTAAACCCTAAATCCTAAACCCTAAACTCCTAAACCCTGTATAGTAGGTTCCTGGGGGTTAGGGGCTGGTGGACCAAAACTTCGAAACGGCGAGGCGCGTGGTGGTTTGACCCGCCGACGAGGACGACACCTCGACCAGATCCGTACCTTCAGGGTACTGGGGTTTAGGGCATAGGGGTTTAGGATTTAGGGTTTAGGGGTTTAGGGTTTAGGGTTAGGGGTTTAGGGTTTGGGGTTTAGGGTGTAGGGTATAGGGGTTTAGGGTCTAGGGGTTTAGGGTTTAGGGTATAGGGGTTTAGGGTACTGGGGTTTAGGGTGTAGGGGTTTAGGGTGTAGGGGTTTAGGGTTTCGGGGTTTAGGGGTTTAGGGTTTAGGGTTTAGGGTATAGGGGTTTAGGGTATAGGGGTTTAGGGTACTGGGGTTTAGGGTCTAGGGGTTTAGGGTATAGGGGTTTAGGGTACTGGGGTTTAGGGTGTAGGGGTTTAGGGTACTGGGGTTTAGGGGTTTAGGGTTTAGGGTATAGGGGTTTAGGGGTTTAGGGGTGTAGGGGTTTAAGGGTTTAGGGTTTAGGGTCTACCCATGGGCCCCAAAGTAGTTCCTTTTTGGGGTTCATATTTAGAATCCTATGAGGTAAAATCAAAAAGGAACTACTTTAGGGCCTATGGGGGGGGGTTTGTGGCTTAATCGTACTTTGAGGGCACGGAGATGTTGGACAACTGAATCCATCGAGCAGGCTAACGAAATTGTCCTGCCCTCAAGACCCCTGGAATACTCCACATCTCTACAACTCTACAAGTCCTGAAAAGCCCCAGAAACTCAGCACTCCCTGCAGTCCCACAGACCGCTTTGTGTCCCAGAATGTGCCTTTCTCGCTGGCTTGCACCTGGGCTTTATAGGTAGCCTTCCTTTGGTTTCTGCAGGTTCGGGTCTTGGAACTTGGGTTTGGTAGCTCGGGGCTTAGACTTCCGTGTCTGCTGGGTCGGAACTCCGAAATGTAGAATTTTATGAGTATTCAGACGGATTCTATAACCATTCACCCACCTTGCAGTTCCGCGATCTTCTGCTCCAAGCGTGCCTGGAGGGAGTGCGTTCACAGTTTAGGACGGGTTTTCGGGCTGGCGGTGGGCCGTTTAGGATTTTTGACGGGTTTAGGGTTCACTTAGGCACGTGGGGGACGAAAGAACTTTGGAATTTTATGATGGGGTTGGGTTGTTGTTGTCGTCCTTTCTTCCTGGGTTCATAGAGCTGCTTGTTGCGGCGATGTGGTTCAATTGTCGCGTTGACAGCAGAAGATGTAAGTATTCAACGACAGGATCGTTTGCTAGTCCCGTTCAAGATAAGCAAAAGCTGTTTCTCGTAGAGTCCCCAAGCCACTCTGAAGTTCGGGCTCAGACTCCTTTCCTATAAAGGCAACTGCTGGAAGGAACGGAAGGCAAGTAGTGGCAATGTTGCGTGTGCATCTGCAACTTCTCGCAGGAGGGGATGGCTTCTTCTGTTCATCCGATATGGGGGTTTCAGAAAATAGGGGACCCTAATCTAGTACCCTAAATAGTAGGAACCTTATTATAAGGACCCCCAAATAGGATACCCTAATTTTCGGAAACTCCCATATGAAGCTCTCATTCCCTACGCCATGTCCTCTCCGCAAGTTCTCCCATGACGTCGGTCCTGATGCTCTCCGCTGCTCATATCCCCGCCCTATCGACTCTAGGGAACCACGGACGAACCACGACAGCAGCTCCCCAAATGAGCCTTCTCCTTGCGGACTTCCAGGCTGCAGCCATGTAAACACAGGGCGGCCCAGCACCTCGCACATAGACTTTCGCAGCGTCGCTGCTTGCGAAACACACACCAAGCAGGAATAATGACGAGCATGTCGCTTCCTACGACTACGACGACGACTGCTCCCTAAACCCTAAAGCTTTTGCAAGGGCCCCTTTTCAAACGAGCAGCCCCAGGAGGCAAACGCCAACCAGGATCATCCTCGGGAGCTCAAAAAGGCCGAACATCTTGGGCTATCTTGGTTCTTTTCTTTTTTTATCACCTCTTTTCCTTCGCCTGAGGGGTCCGGAATACCATGTTGGTTGAGGCCTGGGATATCTTGGTTCAGAGCTCAGGGTTTATAGCAATTGGAGTCAGGTCAGGGTTCTTTTCAAGGGCATGCTACGCACTTTTGGGATTCGCATTGTTTGGGTTTGTGCTTCATTGCATTACTGTGGACTTGCAAAGAGCAGTGCGGCCAAATTCTGAGGCCCCTGTGCTGTGGAGATCCTCTGGCGTGGGTTTGAACTTGAGGTTTAGGGTTTTGGGTTTAGGGTTTATAGGGTTTAGGGCTCTGCAGCTTTGAATCTGACTACTCAACATGCTACGGCAGGGTTCCTGTTGATTGAACTAAACCCAACACACTCGCAAAGGAGCCAGGCGGCTGGCTTATCGTGTGGTTCGTTCTTGGGCTGTGGTTTAATTGCATGTGTGCCAGAACTCAGAAGGCCACTGGAATAGTGAAATGGTGAACCCCGCATCCAAAAAAGGCTTACGAGTTACATGGCCACGCGCTTCAGAATGCGAGGCGAAATAAAGCTTGAATTTACCTGCATCTGCAGCTTTTTTGGCTGCCTCTGAACACCGTCATCTTAGGCGTGCAAAACATTTTCTTTCAGGGGTCCAGCTACCAGTCTTGTGGCTTTTTGAAGAATATGTGAATGGCATTTCTTTTTTTCAGAAAGCTCCAGTTTTCGACCACCGGTCCTGACTTACATGACACCAGCCGACATGCTCGCATGCGGAAATGCATGCTACATCCAAGTTGAAAAGGCGCTTGGCACGACCTGGATGTCATCTCATGCCAACGTGCAAAGCTGAGGGCAGAATATGCCAAGCAGCTTCCAAGCCACGACATGGCACGACAATGCCAGCAACAAACTGACAGCTCGTAAGTCTCAGATACTTGTGTGTCATAAACCTGCGGACTGTCACAGGCTGTGTGGGTTGCTGCCCTCGACTGCTGTGCGCCCCTCATGAGTTGAACATGTCTACCCTCATGGCATCACAGCTGTTGCAGGTCAAACGCCATTCCGCCGTAAAACCCAAGCCCTAATTCAACCTAAACCGGTTGAGTCGAGGGTCGCAGGTTTCTGGCTCTTGGGTTTGTCCTTGTTATTTTGCGGCAGCAGGTTGCGGTACAGTAAGCGGTTTCAACCTCGTCTGTAAAGTGGGTACCATCTATGAATTGTGAAGCATAGGTGTTGGAGACGGCACAAATCACCAAATGGGGGTTTCCGAAAATAGGGGACCCTAATATAGTACCCTAAATATTAGGATCCCTATTATAAGGACCCCAAAATAAGGTACCCTAACTTTCTGAAACTCCCAAATGTGTACCTGTGTCAACTTCCGAGCTGGCCCACATACTGTTCAGAGCGTCTAGTCACAGAGTGGATTCTAGCTCGGTGGACGTGTGTCGCTCAATGGTCTTGGCTATCGACTTGACGCGCCTTTAAATCCAAACCTGTGAACCCTAAACCCTAAAGCCTAAATCCTAAATTCTCATGAAATCCATGAACATAAATCCTAAATTCTCATGAAATCCTTGAACAGAACACTTCCCTTTTTGATTTCTCCGCTGTCGCGGCAGTGGGGACTCGAGCAGCCTTCGCAGGGACAAGGCCTCCCCAGGGCAGGAAAACAGATTTGAGGGGCATTGAAGGGTACCCATACGCCCCCATAGTAGTTCCTTTTTGTGGTTTGAGCCAGGGTTTATGGTTTAGGGTTTAGGGCTTATAGGGTTTAAGGGTACCCATAGGCCCCATAGTAGTTCTTTTTTGTGGTTCGAGCCACGGTTTAGGGTTTAGGGTTTAAGGGTACCCATAATCCCCCATAGTAGTTCCTTTTTGTGGTCTGTATTTAGGATCCTATTAGGTAATCCCAAAAATGAACTACTATGGGGCCTATGGGTAGTGGTGGTAATACCCTATGCTAACCCCCCAGGTACCTACTATATGGGGCCCTAGGGGCTCTAGTACCCTATATAGCAGGTACCTGGGTGGTTTAGGGATATGTAAAGTCGCAGTGGTAGTGGTAGTGGACGTGGTATAGTGGTGGAAGTGGTGGTCGCGCATCTGCGCCCGACGTGCCTGGACTTCCACTGTCTGAAAGAAGTTCCGGCAGGCCCCTGGGATTGAAGAACAAACACGTGGGTAGTTCTCTAAATTAGGGTCCCTTTCAGGGTCCTGTTTATAAGGGTGCCGTACTATATTGGGGACCTAAAAACAAACCCTAATTTAGAGAACTACCCACGTTAAAACAGGATTGGGATCTGGGAGCACGGGTCTCGAGCTGATGCAAAATACCCTCAGCAAACCCTAACCCTCCAGGTACCTGCTATATAGGGCCCTAGGGACTCTAGTACCCTATATAGTATAGGTACCTGGAGGGTTAGGGCGGAAACATCAACAAGTTGAGCAGTTAGCATCAACATGCGCCCTCGACCTGATACTACTCACGATGTCCAACTCCCGAAAACCCGACAAACCTATCCCTAACCCTCCAGGTACCTACTATATAGGGCCCTAGGGGCTCTAGTACCCCATATAGTAGGTACCTGGGGGGTTAGGGTATGGATGAAGAACCCGAAGAAAGTCTTCGCCTTTCCTAGAGACCCGGTTAGACCTGGACCTGTAATACTTCTACGGACGCATAACCTACATAGTGGGACTTCTTTGGTCCTACTTACCTCCTACTATGTCCTTGCAGCCTTGGGTTCACCCTTATAGAAGCCCTAGCCCTAGCCCCTCTTCATCATAATGAACCAACTCGTCTGGGCGGCGCAGCGAAGCAGCGCGCTTGGCCTCCCGCTCCTCCTCGCTGACAGCTTGGAGGATGTCCATGAGTCCTCGACACTTCTGCACGAAGGTCTTCGGATTTGGGATACGGGATGGTGCTCGGTACGGGATGGTGCTCCAGTGGATGTTTAGGGGCTAAGGCGGCTAAGGCTTACAAAGGTTCAAGACTTTAGGCTTAGCTGTTGTAGAAAGATCTCTTTGAGCTAAACTACAAAACCACGCCTAGCGTGATAACGGAAGTTTCCACCCAGATGCTGTCAATGTGACTCTCCCGCACGAAAACGCCATAGGATTCAAAAGGAACCAGTTCGTTGTACGGTGGAACCATATAGTCCGTAACGAGAACCGGAACTGAGCCTGAGCAAACCACGTCGTTCCACCGGTGAGTCGAGTGAGTGTCCCCTCGCAGCAGTAGTGAAAAGACCGTTTCGTGCAGTACCTCGCCGTAGCCTTGGACAAACTCGTCGGTCATGCGCTCTGAAATCACCACTTTTTTGCCCTCGTAAGTCTTGTTGTGGAAATGCCTGTGCGTGTAGACCCGTATCGGATGCATCAACAGCTTTCCTTTGAAGGTTGCAAAGTATTTCCGTGACTTCAGAGGGCTGCTGGCTGGTGGCCAAGAGGCCGCAGCGTGAGGTGGCGAGGGCAAAGCGATGTCAATCCCTTTGCGGTACATTGGCCAGGTCGCACCACGGAATGCCCAAAGAAGCTCGGGCCGCAGATAGTGTTCAGCAGGCAGGAAGTGCGTGTTGAAGCAGGGCTGGCCTTGCCAAAGCCCAGGTGGAATGCTAAAGTAGTTGCAACAGTCCGGAGCTTCGTGGCCATTGTCGTCCAGAATCACCACACGTGGCTGCTTTTGGCTTCGAGTTTTCCACACTTCTTTAAGGATGTAGTCCACCCCGAGCAAGACCTCCTCCACACACTTGTTTCCGAGACGGACAGCGTTCCCGGTTGACTCACACCTGCCACCGTCGTAGGTTGGCCAATTGCAGTTGCAGCCAAAGTATGCAGGCATCCAGATGATGTCAGCATCCTCGAGAGTCTTGGCGCGGCAAGTCGTCTGCTCCATAACCCGCTGGAAATGTGTGGCGTACGTGGTGACAACACAGGACTTGAGTTGAGGAACCGCATCTTCCAATTCGGAATGAGACATGGGGTAGATAAGTGCGCAGGCTTCGAACGTCGCTTCAGTGCCTGGGCTGGACATGTCCCACCCTGCATTCCAGTCACTGCCGTTGCTTTCGCACTCTGGCGACAAATTGCTGTGGCTACTGGGCCCGGGAAAATGAAGCCACGTGAACAGGACGTACAGCAGCAACAACAGTAGCCCGGCAAGCTGAGCTGCATGCAACACGCGCAACCTCCCGCAGAGAATCCTCCTGCAGAGAACTTTCAGCCATATTCCGAAAGCAGAGGCCAGTGCACTCTGTATTGTGTCGTCAGACTCGCCTTTCATTTGGCACAATGGAAACACGAGCTGAAGCTTGGACCGACAAAGGGGCAGCAAGCAGACTTATCTTGCGCAAAGGTTGCCACCTAAAAATCCCAATGCTCGAGATCCGCATCCGTCCGCGGAAGTCCTCTCTTGTGGACGACAAGGTATGCACGCTGCTATTACAGTTAGCAGCCTTTGGCCTTGGTGCGGCCTTCATACACAATGCGTCGGGATTGGTAGGTAGGTATACGGTATGTCACATCCCAAAACCAGCACTCGGGGAAGCACGTGTCCAGTGAATCCCTTTACTGAAAGCGTGATTGCCTGGCTGTTGCTGCATCCTTACCGATTTTTTGTGGACGCCCGAACACCTGCAGTGCTAGTGACGAGTGCACGTGATTACCGCAGCCCGCTTGGGAACCATGCTTAATGACAAACCCCAACCTCCAAGTCTTCCCTTGGATTCTTCTTTGGTGCTACCTTGACCGGACCTCTCAATGAATCTTGTAGTTTGGTGTGACCATGGCGATCGAGATGGTGCTGGTGGTGGGCGGTGATGGTGGCGGAGGTGCTGCCCCCGAGGACGATGATGCTGCGGTGCAGATGCAAGTTACCGAGTGGCGGTGCTGGTTGTGGGGGGCACAGCCTCACCCCCATGTTGACGAGCATATTACCAGAACCTTGCTCCATTCATTTTCGAACTCACGTGGCTGGCGGCCGCAGCTGCAATGCCCCCTGGCCTCCAGCTTTTGGAGCTTCGCTGACTTACTTCCTTTGGCATGCGTTCTAGAATGGGGGCTTGACGAAACTCGGAAAACCTCCCGGTCCCTAGATCCAGGAGGGAGCCTCCTGGAGTAAAGACGATCTTGAAGGCTCGGGGGGTTTAGGCTGCAGTTCGGTTCAAATTCCATGGAGCAAAAAATCCGGAAGCCATAGACCAAAAGTCCATGGTACAATAGCTAGGTCTTCTGTTGAAGAGCCTCATACAATGCTCATGTTTGCTGGCAGGTCCAACAGACCGATGGTGCATTTCTGTGCTGTATGGATACGGACGTGGCTGAGGAATTCTGCGCTTAATGCTGCTGGGCCAAGCCATGAACATGTTGCAGCCGCTTATGAGACAGGTATGGGATTTTGGGGTTTGGGGTCGATGACGGCCGAGAATCCAGGCCTATACACCCGTAATACACCCGGTGGTTTTTTTGGTTGCTATCACGGGTTGGAACTCTGGCAGCTTATGCACCCTGCATCTCAGGATCCTTGTAAATTGCCAGCTCCTTTCGGCAGTCGGCGAACGTCCAAACTGTTTTTTCAGAAGCCTTCCTTTCGGCCTCGGGTCACCATTCATTCGCGCACCTCGTGTGGGTGGGTGTTCGTGGCGCCCAACTGTGAGACTTTCTGTATTTTTCTGCGCAGCCTCAAAGAGGGAGACAAAGCGAGACACAAAAGCTGAAATCACGATAGATTGGAAAGAGCACCCATGCAAATCAGCTCAGCCTAACCGGAAAACGAGATCAATAGTCATTTCTCCTGTTATGTGAAATGGCCGCCAGAAATGGTGCAGACTGGTTCGGATGAGTCCGTCACTCAAGCTGACAACATGTGTCCCTGCCAGCGAGTAGCCTTTAGAGGTCATGAGCTGGATTAGCTTCTGTGGACCTTCTTGATGGTAACACCAATACTTCCAAACGTCGGCACGCGACCATCCATCTCGTATGACAATGCAACTGTTCCATTTCGACTCCACTTGGATCGTGTCGATGCGGTACTGGTCGAAGGGGAAGGCGGCGAGAATCTCCAGCTCGCTGCCCTCCGTATCCACGGACATGTAGTCAACATGCCGAAGCTTTGCTAAGTCCAGAAGCTCCTGAAGACTGTGGCAGTTGAGGCCCGACTTCCCGCAGATCGCTCCGTGCAGCGCGAAACTGCCTGGTCGGTTCTTTTTGAGCTCGTTGGCGTAGTGAGACGGCTCCGCAAGTGCTCCAGACCAACCTAAGGCAGCTTCGAAGAAGTTTGTGTTGGAGTGAGCAATTCCATCCAGCGCACCGAATTCCACAAATGTTCCGCTGGGTCGCATGCCCTTCTTACTGGAGAAGAACTGCTTGAGGATGGATAAGTCTTGGGCGTTCTGGGAGGTGGCCTCAGGATGTCTGAAGACGTCATCGTCCTCAAAGCCATCCAGGTGGACACCCCGGAGGCCCGCAAACCAAGAAGCACACCTGGGTCTGATAACAGACCGCAGGGGGACAAGTGCAGCTTTTCTGAAAGGATTTCTATGAAAGGCCTGAAACATTGCAAAAGAAGGCTGGGACACTGACTTTGAAGATCGCTCCCAGACGTTCTAGCCTTGCCGTCCAGGACATGAACACTTAATGCCTGCCTCTCGGAGGATGACGTTGGAGACCACTCCACAGAGAAGAATCCTGGATCTATCAGGTAAGGAGTGTTTCCTGCGCTGAGCAGATGGCCACCCCACCAGACATCATCATGAGATCGGCATCCGACGGGGGCGCGGCTGAAATTGAAGACGTGGTCTCCGAGCATAAACCTCTTGAAAAGAACGCCGGCAAAGCCTCCACACCATCCATGCACGGTGCCCTCTTCACCCCGATTCATAGTCCTCTTCTTCAGACTTCGGTAGCCATCAGCCCAAGCCTCCTCGCACCAGAAAGCAGGGGAACTGTTCCATGGGAGGTTCATCGCCGCCAGGACTAACGCAAGAACTGTGTCCACATGGTACTTTGTGTCATCGTCCACTGTGATGAGCCATGTGCTTGGATCTCTTTCCACCTGCAGAGCCGCAAGCAACTTTGTAGCCGGCCCCCAGTCGTCGCTGATGTGCTTCACAATGATGCTACTGTGAATCTTAGCGATGTCTTCCCAAAACGCATCGTCTCCGACGACTCCATCGCCACCACTACCGCCAGCGAGCTGAGACTTGGTGAAAGGATTCTGCGAAACGAACACGTAAATGGCGTCGGGCATGCAGCTTTGAACTGCCAGCGACTGCAGTGCCATCTTGAGATTACCAAGTCTCCCCTCGAAGGTAGACAGAGTCACAACCACCCGGGGTCGCGCGTGGCTGCACTCTTGCTTTTGCCCGGGCCGTGCCTTCGCTGCTGCAAGGATTTCGAGCAAAGAGGTGTTTCCAAAGAGCCCTTGCTGCTCTGGGACATAGACGGAAGCGAAGCTGCCGTGCCCTTCGAGAAGGCACCGAGATGCCAAAATGGCAAGCAGGGCAACTAGCCCAGAGGACACGAAGCCCCCATGCCAGCTCATCCTCGCCGAGCGCAGGACTCGCAACACGAAGTTATATAATATATCATGTAGTGGACCTAAAATGTTGTATTTCGTAGATCGAACATTAGAGATGTCTTATGTTTCTGTCTTAAACGTTATAAGTATGTTGGCCATCGAGCATGCACTTTTGCAGGGACCTATACATATTGTTCAAATGTTGCATATACCTGTCTATCCTACTTGTAGTTTACAGAGTATAGACTGTACAGTCTACTGTCTACTGTGTTATATGTTGGGGTCTTCCGAGTGGCATCTAGATGCACATCTAGTCCAGTGCACATCCCGGCGTCCTCACCTAGTTTTGTGCGCCTTGCTGCAAAACGAGCTGCTGAGCCGAAAAAGCAAGGACGCGCACGACTAAGGTCCAAATGCGTGCACCTGGCCGCGCAACAGGGAGTCTTTCTGCAGGGTGTCTTTCCACGAGCGCGCTTCTGCTGCAAAAGTATGGTGATTCTGGACAAGCGATGTGTGGATGCATTCCGTATCGGGGAGGAAAACCTTGTCCATGAAGCACATCGCAAGGAAACCGGATTCAAGATCTCCGGGCCCCGAATCCCAAGCCCAAACCTGCCCGCCTCTTCCGAGGCTGACCTGGCAGAGCGTGGAAAAGGCAGTGCCCAAGGTCTCACCTGTGTTATGAGGGCTTACCTTGCTTTGGAGACTTTGGTAGAACGGGAACCCTCGGCAGTTGATAGGTGATAGGTGAGTGTTGCGCGTGGTGCGGCTTTCAGCAAAGCACTTCATCCCCAGCCCCGCAACTGCGACAAGTCGCAGCAAAACCAGCCACAGGAGAGGAGGTGGCTTAAGAGCTGCATGCTGCAACGGATGCAAAGTCAAAGAATCTGAGAGCGCTCTTTTCTCTCATCCGACCGAAGGTGCCATCCTAATCTGCTCTGCCGGCTCACCAGCCGCCGCCGCCGCCCTGCGCCTGCTGAGGGGCGCTCCAGTCGTCACCACCACCTGGTTTAAGGTAGGGGCCTAATGATTAGACATAGGGTCTTGGGGGTTCATTATGCTTCTAGTAGTTATAATATACCCCAGTCGCACTGCATGGTAGCAGCAGCAGTAGCATCGGGAGCTGCCACCATGCTGAGACTATCCGTTCAGGTAATAACGAAGAGATGAATGATTACTTACTTTCCCGTTCTGAACAACTTTGCACAACAGAAAAATACAAACTCGCACAAGAGATGAGTTGGACTGGGAGAGGCAATCCAGGAGACGATCAAGCCTGGTCCTAGCAAAGGCCGAGCAGATATGGGAAGTCGCCAAGCAGTCTTAGTTTCTTTGCAATCCCAAACCCTCCAGGTACCTACTATATAGGGCCATAGGGGCTCTAGTACCCTATATAGNNTAGGTACCTGGGGGGGTTAGGGAATACTAATAATAAGCTGGTGAAAGGATGAGCGCGAAGAAGGACCAGCGCGAAGAACTGCCATGCAAAGTGCTGAAAGTCTCCACCGATATCAGCACCAGGAAGTTTTAGAAATCTTCGAGACACCCGCTGGGGAAACGTTGATCGTCCTCCCACGGCGAACAGACGATCACGGAACAGGCAGTGGGGCGTCGGTGGTCGCAGCAGCAACAGTAGCAGCGGCAGTGGCAGCAGTCGTGGCAGTCGAACAAGCTTCTAAAGCCGCTGCAAAACCCTTTCACACGGATAAGAAACTGAGAATTGCGAATTCAAAACCCTGGAAAAGCCCGAGAACTCGCTAACGACTAGACAGTGTAAACAATCTAGCATCACCAAGATCAACATCGTGTCCACGTCCGCCAACACCCCAGAACAACAGACCCCCCCCCCGTGACAACAACCCTAGAGAAGCCTGCGGGAGCATCCCAGGAGGCATCGCCAGCGGCCGCGTTGGTCATGTCATCCCAGTTGCCACCACCACCTCGCGGTGAGCTTCTTGAGCTTCAAAGATAGGATTGATTCCGAATTCTCCGGATCTCAAGGTAGCAGGGGACTGCACGGTGCTTCTCGGGATGTAGGGTTCATGATGCTGGCGAATCCCAGCTCTAATCATCCTGAACCCATGTTCCAACTTTTTCTGGCTTCTACTTTACTACACAGCTTTGGCAGGTTCGGTGGAGTAGCTAAAAAAACAGCTTTGAGATGGAGACCATGGCGACTAGGTTCCAGGTCAGGTCTCCGACAAACTCCCACTGAAAAACCGGAACAAGTAAGAACTCTTGACCGAGATCTCACGAGCTCATAAGAAGAGCCGTAAAGAGCCACTAGCCCAAACAACTCGAACGTGGGTGCTCACTTCCTGTCACATTGGAGGCACCTTCACCCCTGTGCGGCCATAGCATGCACAAAGGCACATGTATGACCCGCCTGCGCCCTCCCAGGCCTGTGCCGGGGCGGCCCATTCCTGCTGCTTTCGGGAGGGGCAAGAACGAATCAGCATTTCGGCAGGTTAGTCGTGGCAGTTTTTTAGGCATCGTGTCATGGCCTCGCTGAACTATGGGGTTCCCTTTTGTTGTCATCTTGGCTACCCAGCAGGCACAAGAGTCGCCCGTGGCTCAAAGGCATCCCCCAAGCTGATCTTCGGGTCATCTACATGGTTCATGTCGCGATCACAGGAGATCGCTTAACAACTTCTGTGCTGAAACCTAATTAGCACACGGCAAGGCCAATTTAGGCTCCATGCTCCATTGGAGTACCAGCAGCCCGTGATAGCTGTAGGAATCGTAACCCGTAGCCGCAACAATAGTGCAGTAGCTTGTTGTTGAGAAATGATGCCGTACTGGCTGAGCTATGGGCAGCCCTGGGACAATGAGAGTTGCCTTGAGATCACCACGCAGGTGACTAAGCAACAGCAGGCGATGGTACTGGAAGACTCCAGATGAGTGTTGCAAATCGAAATAACACCTCTAAAAGTCCACGAATGAGATTTCTCAACAGTGACACACAACAGTAGCACGGTTTATGGTGCCACCAAGTCAGAGATGCAAGTTCCGCTAACGAAAGAGTCTTTCCTGGTAGTAGTATTTGCCTTAAAGGCCACAGCACCAACCACAGTGACGAACGAGTCATTGACAAGGATTGAACTGTAACTGCAGGGTGCACAAAGAAGCATTAGTGACTCTTCAGAAACTATAACCCTAAGCCTCCAGGTACCTACTACATAGGGCCCTAGGGGCTCTAGTACCCTATATAGTAGGTACCTGGGAAGTTAGGGTAAAACATCAAGACGCAACCATGGCCCTTGTGCTTACTCAAGCTCACTGCGACCTGACAACGGTATAAATGCGTGGAGACAACATTCCAATCGTACTGCGTGCCGTTTCAGAGAAGTAGGCAAACGTCCAAGAATACCACTCGAAGCATTCTGTGTTCCAGCTAGTTCGGTATAGTGGGATATCATATTGCCGAAGTAGACCGGAACCACGATGTTGTCCTTTGTATGATACATCTAAACACGACTGTGTGAGTTTAACATCATGTCGTGGTCGTAATTAGTGTAATAGCGTGACGATACTTACGGCTGCATTGCCGCACTGCTGCCTTGAGCGAGGTGATGTTGCAACTGGCTCTTTCCGACTATGATGTCTCAACAACACATGCTATGTTGCACTGCGCTTCTTGTGTCCCCATAGTCTCGTGCATGCAAGTGTAGTGTATTAGGCTACAGCTATGTCACAAGATGATACAGCATGGCGGTAGCTTCACCAAATCTTATTTCCATAGCCTTACAGCACCATGTGATTCCCCTGTCTAGCCATACTAATATCCAACATGGAGCATCAGTAGTCATAAGCCTAATTCTATAATCCCTAAACCCTAAACCCTAAACCGAAACCGTGTACTATAGCAAGGTCGTTCTTTTGGCTCGGGCCTGCTGCGGTGCGGCAGGCTCCTGCTCCAGCTGGGTTGCACATCGGAAGCTTCGGGTCTTGCACGTCGGGTTGAAGGGATTCTTATAGTTTTAGGGCTTAGGGTTTCGGGTTTTAGGGTTTAGGGTTGAGGGTTTAGGGTTTAAGGGTTTATTCGGGTTTAGGGTTTTAGGGTTTAGGGGATTCTTAGTCGTCTTTCTCTCAGGTGTGATAAGTGGCTCAGATCTTCCAAGAGAAAAGGGTGGATGATGATGATGATGGATTTCTGAAGGGCTGATCTTTCGAGGGAGTGAAAAGCTTCGGGTCACTAGAGTTTACAAATCATTTCAGGGGGATGGGGTGTAGGGCTCGGATCGTCATCCTTTCATAAGACCATCTATGTCGCAATTCTCCGGCCGCAGACCTCAAGAGATGCCTGTGATCCTCTACATAACCTGCACAGGTACAAGACATCTCCGTCCAAAATGAAGATCTTCAGGGATGGCTGGGGAGACCCGTAGTAACGTCATTACCCGCCTCCTGCTGCATGATCTCCTCTGGGTCACGCCAGAAGAACCTGGAGGCTGATCGACAGCCCGAGTCCCGTGAACTCGCCAAGCTAAGATGTGTCAAGAGTGTGCGAAGCTGCTGCCCGAGCACGAGTCCACCATCACGTCCCACGGCTGCGTGCGAGGCATGCTTCCCCGCAGGTAGAGGACCTGCCGTCTTGATGAAGAAAGCATTCGTGTCTGACATTAAAGAAGTGCCACGGACGGTCGCAGCCCAGAATCCCAAGACGGAGACGACGTGCATTGCCTCCCTGGCCAGGAGCCAGTAGAGCAAGGCGATGGACTCCTGTTGCTCGGCGAGAAGAGCTCCACGGAATGGGGTTGGGACTCGTGAATGTGTGCAGTGTACAGTCTCATGTCATCAGAACAGGATGCGGCTACCAGGTTTCCGGGGCTGGCTTGCATCATCGTTGCTCCGGCAGCAGTCCCCCAGTAACAGCAGTGTGTACGCAAGGCACTCCAGCCGCCAGACAAGCCAGCCCATCACAAACAAAGACAGGCAGACAAACAGAGAGTCTCAGAGACACGCACACACAACCCGGCAGTCACCCGGCTACCCTGCCACCCAACCCGGACCCACACCCACACAGCCTCCTGACAAATGTAGTCACGTGCATGTCTTTGCAGTCTTTGCATACGGGGCATGCAGAACCAGCGACCGTCGACGCACGTGTGTGCATTGCACACGAAGAGACAGACGGAGAGGCAGTCGTGGAGGCAGGCAGGCAGGCCGGCAGGCAGTTAAGCGGAGACGCGCGTGCACGCGCGCATGCCACAAACACACACACACACACACACACAGAGACACACAGAGACACACACACACACATACACACACAGACACACACACACGCACAAACACAAACACACACACACGCACAAACACA